TGATCACAAGCCTTGTGCAACTTTCCAGGGACTCTTAGTTTCTTCAAGCTCCAGTCTTCACCCACAGATTCAATGCTCCTCGTTAATAAGCCATAATTTCCCTTGCCTATGGAGGAACCTGAGTAACGAGGCCTTCTCTCTCTTTGCACAGGAGCAGCATCAAGTGGGATTGTCTCGGACTGCGGGGTCTATGCAGCCTTCTGTCCCACCAGGCTCCAACAGCGTGGTCACGGGCACAAGCTCTGGGGGTCCTTTCCTGGGAAACCAGCCGCAAGCAGCCATCATGAAGCAGATGCTGATTGAACAGAGAGCCCAGCTCCACGTGATTGAGCAGCAGAAACAACAGTTTCTAAGAGAGCAAAGGCAGCAGCAGCAGCAGATTCTAGCAGAGCAGGTATGCCAGGCGTTTGTCTTGGGCACCGCAGAGCACGCTCTCGTGCTAGAGACAGCACAACACCAGCCTTTCCTTCTGTATTTAGTAATTCTCTCTCTGTGGCCTCTGTCAAGGTATTTTAGCAACGGTTGTCCAAGAAGAGACATACCGTTAGCTTGGCAAATGTTACCTATGTTCCCAGCAGCGGGCTTGACAATCACGTGGGATTTTAGACACTGGAAAATTAGCTCATACCCTAGTATCTCACAGTGCATTTCCTTTGGCAGAAGCAAACTGCTACAGTTACAGTATCTGGTGCTCTCCCCTACTTCTGACTACAGGCAAAAGCTATGTACAGCCCTGCAGTGATCTGAGACAAAGAATCGACATGGGTTACCAGTAAGCTAGCAAAGAAAAAAAGATGGTATTTACCCAGATTAATTCCTTAATCTGGTTTATCAAGCAATTATGTCAGCACAAGGGACAGGCAGCATCAAGGGGAAACCGAAGGCTGAAGTGGGAGAACAGTAAAACCACCTCTCTCTCAGTAGCAGTGTGCAACTGCTGCATCGGAGGCTGGCAGCTGGCTTCTGGAGCTCTTGGGCTTTGCAATACGGATGTTAAATTACCCGATCTGAATGGTGATGTCTTATGCATATTTAACTTGGCTGTAGTTTAAAAGTAACCCAGGAGAAAATGAGTGGAAATTGACACTGTTCAATTCCTATAAGCTCGTACCCAAGTTTAAACTTACAGTCCCCTAACGTTACCTGGATAATGTCCCAATAAGCCAGCAGTAGCTTTAAGCTTGGTTTCACCTTTCTTGCTGGGGAAATGCAGTTTAAGACCTGGGGTCTGCTTTAATTTGCATTAGGACTTGTGCATGTTGTACAACCACAGAAATACGGGTAGCCTTCCTCTCTTCTCCTGGTCCTCCTGAGAAATAGAAAATTCCCTCCCCCCTCCCCAGTGAACAAGGAAGGATACTCCTAGAAATATTCAGGATAAAGACACATGAATTGGTTCAAGGCTGAACAAATGCAGAAGAGTGAAGATGCACTAATGCTCCCCCATTATGGATTAGGCCAGTTCAAGTGTGTAAACCCAAGAGCAAGTCACTGATTTTGATCGCTGAAGGCCAGCCTAAAAGTGTTGAAAAACGACAAGGCTGAGGCTGTCAAGTGTGCTGGCACAGATAAGTGATGAAGTCACAGTCCTCAGGCTTCTAGCTTTGAGGTGTTTTGTGCTGAACAAGGTTCCCTTTATCTCTTTGGTAGTTTGCAACACATATTTACAAACATAGGGATTAGTACTTGCTTCTTTCCCATCTTTGCTGCTCTCTTACCTTCGTTGCACATCCTTGGGTTTGGACACAGTATTTGTACAGCTGCAGATGAAGCACTGAGACGTGTCCTTTTAGTAAGTGCTTAGTCGAGTATACCCTAGGCTTTGAAAGCTCTGGTAAACACACTCTGTTTTTATAATCAGCCCTTGATTCTGTTTTAGATGCATGAGTATTCATAGAAAATAACCACAGAGGAGCAGTGTGGGCTGGATCAAGGGAGGGAGGCATTTTGCAATCACCTGCTCCCCAAATATCATTCACTGAAGCCCAAGAGGAGATATGCCTTAGTAGCCATTTCTGTTCTGGCTCAGGAGCAGTCCTGTGCCATGGTGCTCAGGTCCAGATGCAGTGCTCCTTGCAGCTGAGTGATCTGAGTGCAGAGGTGGAGGAAAGTCTTATATCGGGAGCATAAACCTCTAGACCTTGGCAGGGCTGTGGGAAGGAAAGGGCATGTGGCTGCAGTTGCCCTTAGACCTAGGTGAGCAAAGATATTTCATATTCGTCCCTCTCCTTTCAGCCTGAAGATAGTTGTAGAGATTGAGATAAAATCATAGAATGGTTTGGGCTGGAAAGGATCTTAAAGACAAACTAGTTCCAACGCCCCTGCCATGGGCAGGGACACCTCCCACTAGACCAGGTGGCTCAAAGTCCCATCCAGCCTGGCCTTGAACACGTCCAGGAAGGGGCCATCACTTCCAGAGAGAGGTAAGATGAAGTGGTTATCAGTAAGGAGAGATGATGTTAGCCTTAGTGCTTCCTATTTTTTCAACCCAGAGGTGTCTGCGTGCTCAGTAGCCCAAGCCTCTCAGGAGGACTCTTCAAATGACTCTGCTTGTCTCTCCAGAACAGCTTGCTAGATAAGAAGTGCTGCAGTTCTGCTGCAGTACTTTTGCCACCAGCCCCTTTCTCAGCTCACTAATTAATTAATCATTTTTTTCTCTTCTGCTTTCTTTCTCTCGTTCATTTTCAGCAGCTGCAGCAGCAGTCACATTTGCCTCGGCAGCATCTGCAGCAACAGCGGAGCCCGTATCCAGTGCAACAGGTCAATCAGTTCCAAGGTAAAAGTCAAATTCTTTTTCCTGTATTGGAGTCAACACGTGCCCCTGTAGCAGGCACGTGAAGACCAGGGTTTAAGCAGTGTGCCAGAAGAGAAAGACAGGCTCTTGCACACTTACACATACCACATATTTTACCAAAAGGGAATGCTCAGGTTTGTGTATTCAGTTAAGTTTCTAACCCCCCTCTGCTCCCCTCAGCGAAATGCAGGTTTTTATTTGACATTTGTTGTGCATCTTTGACATCTGGATTCTATGGATTTATCTCATTGTGCTTTTTATTTTTACCCCCAGCTAGCATCTCTCACTGTACCTTGGTTTTTCCCCTCTTCATTCCCCATTTTATCTAATTTGATGAGCAGAGAATTTCAGAGAGGTCATCATTATCTAGAAAAGTGATTGATAAATGTCAGGTGTGGGAAACACAGTGAAGTGTCTGAGATGTAAATGGAGATTTTCTAAGGATCTCAAAAAAAACCCCAAGTATTAGTCCAATGTTTTTGCAGATAACTGAAGAATGTAAGTACAACAGCCAATGTTTTGCACCTAGAAAGCCCAGAATTAACTTATTTTCTTAAGTCAAAATGATTGTGCTTACATTCTTGTTATCTGCGAGCACACTGAAATAATACTTGCTTTTTGCTAACCATGAATTCTAAATAGACATGAAAGGAACATGCACTTGTACTGTATATTCATGATAGTGTCATGTCACTGCAATAGAAAACAAGGGAGGAAACCATATTGCAGTTCTCGTACCCAGGACAGGAGCAGGCAGCCAGATCTTCCGCTGGTATATATCAGGGTGGCTGCTTCTAATCGCCTTCTCATTTTTATCTTTGGCAGCATAAATTCTGTATGAAATGATTTTTTTCTCCTCAATAATTCATTTGCAAAATCAAAATGTATCTGTGTGCACTACCATACAGTGAGATGCACATGTAAAATCTTTCTGCGTTAATGCTTCTTTGAAACCTTGTCTTCATATGTATTATTTAAAAGGAACAGAGAAGAGAGTTTAGACTAATCTGACAGAGCAAGGAATTAATTTTCATAAATGAGCTAATTTGAATATAAATATTTCACCATTTTTCCTATTTAGTCACAAGAATGTAATCCAGTGCAGTAGGTTATGTGTAAATGAGACCAGAAAGTGGCCTAAAATCTTAAAATCTGTTGCATCTGTCTTTTAACTAAGCCTTGTCTGATCTCCTGTCTCTTATGCCAAGCACGGTAGTTAACGAAAGTAGTACGTGAACCACTTGCTGGTAGTGACTCCTTCAGAGGTTTTCAAATGCCATTTTCAATCAAAAAATAGCTGAAGACGCATTAAGTAAGGTTTTAACATTATCTGTGTCTTAAGCACTTGCTGGAGCTGTTGTAAAAAGAGATTGCTTCTAATCGTGGAAAGAGACGGTGATCTAAATTAAGAAGAATCAAGGAGACCCCAGTGCCAATCATTAAGAAAATGGTTTGATAGGATGGATAAAGTAAAATCTGCCACTACATTTGCCCTGTTCAAGTGAGATCCAGATGGCCTCTCTTCATGCTACAAAATGCTTCATTTATCTATATGTTGGAGCTAAAAGCATCCTCCAGAAGCTTATCCTGCTGCAGCAAAAGGCAGATGTAGCTTTCCTCTGCATTATGTGCAAAAACTATAGAAATGACACTTCCTTTATCCGTTCCCATTTCTCCCAGAAACCAAGCCCAGCCTTCACTCTTCTCCACGGATATTCAAATATGTTGTCTGCGAGTGAGGGACAACAGATAGGGACTGCTGTAAGAACATTCAGAATTTGTTGTACAGCTCATGACTCTTCAAGCAACCATTTTATGTTTATGTCTTGTGTTTAATAATGTTTGAGCTGGGAGTAACTGTGTGCCTCATACTCTTGGAGCTTCACCTGAGACGGTTGTATTTAGGTTGGTACGGCAGTGACTAAAAACCACAATGAACCCATGGCACAATCACAGCTCCAGTAATTGTTTTTAAATAAAGATAGTAAACACAGAAGCATATTTTCTTCCCAGAAATCAATAACTCCCCCCACTCACGAAAAGAAGATGCAAGCATGGTGCAGTTATCTGCCACGGTGTGGAATTTAACAAGGTTAGGATTTTCTGGTTTCCCATCACTGGCCTGAGGTGGAGTAAAACGTGCTTATAATATTGATTCACTAATACACTCTCCCAGCTCTAAATGTCCACAAAAAACAATTTTTCTTCTTTCCATAGACTTAATCAGTAACAATGAAATAGAAAATCCATTCATTTATGCCTCCTGAGCTATTAAAAAATTGATTGGCCTTCTAAGCCTGACATTTCCATTTTCAAGCCTTACTTTTGAAAGGCAATGGAGATATTTAAGAGAGAGCTTCAAGTGGCAAACTGAAGTTCAGCTGCTTTGCTGCCACTGAGGAAGACCAGTGGAAGCTTTCTTCTTTGCTTGCTAGAAGCTGAACTAGGCTTATCTGAAGAGGATAAGTGCTGCTGAATCACAGCCCGTATGAGTAGGTTTTTATTGGGAAAGCAACCACGGCTGTAATCATGCATCACGCCTGCAATCGTGTTGCCTCGATCCTTCAAGAATCTGAATCCATGAATCCCTTTTGGTAGACATCCCAAAATTGTTATAATTGAGATTTACTTAGTGAGTAAATGAGCCTTTTAACCTTGCGAGCCTAATTTTAAGCCTTAAGGTAAGTTAGGCTGTTTTTCTGCATCAATGGTATTCTCTGCTGAACGGTGTCCCACTTCACAAGGTGAATACGGAACGGAATGGGTGACTCCTGTTTAGATTTGCACTTAAGCTGTATTGACTCTCACCTCCAAGGAGAGAGGACTTGGCAGGTCAGGGCAGAGGCTGCAGCCAGAGAGAGGTGGGGAACACATAATCCCTGAAATGCAACTAACATTAGGCAGCAAGCTCATCTCCCAAGGATGGATAACCTTCCAGCTCTCTGCTAACCTTGATGTGAAACAGTAACTTATTCACTCAGAAAGCACAGCAATCTGAAGCCCTACTGTGAAACAGAAGGCTCCTACAGATTCTCTTTTATGCCAAGACGTGTTAATTAAGCTTTACAAGGTCATATTTTTTTCTTGCCTTCCTCCCTTTTTGGTGTAGGTTCTCCCCAAGATATAGCAGCTGTGAGAAACCAAGCAGCACTCCAGAGCATGAGGACGTCCCGAATGATGGCCCAGAATGCGAGCATGATGGCCATGGGTCCCTCCCAGAACCCGAGCACGCTGCCCACGACCGCAGGCCAGTCAGACATGGGCATAGCTCCTTACAGCAACGCCTCTTCCAGCCAGTCGGGAATGTACAGTATGAGCACAGGGATGAGCCAAATGCTGCAGCACCCAAACCAAAGTGGCATGAACATGGCACATAACGCAGGCCAGGGAACGAGGCAGCCTGCCACTGGACAAGCGGTGGGAATGGTGGGCAATTTCGGTCAGAACATGCTGGTGAACTCCGCTCTTCACCAGCATCAGCAGCAGATGAAAGGACCTGTGGGCCAGGTCTTACCCAGGCCACAAGCACCACGACTTCAAAACCTGATGGGGACTGTCCCTCAAGGAACACAAAACTGGCAGCAGCGAGGCTTACAAGGTATACCTGGAAGGACTAGCAATGAGATGGGACCCTTCAATAACGGAACGACGTACCCAATGCAGTCTGGGCAGCCGCGGCTGTCCAAACAACACTTCCCACAGGGGCTTAATCAGGCAGTTGTGGACACGGGCGGAACAGTAAGGGCCCTGAACCCAGCGATGGGGAGACAGTTGCTGCAACCACTACCTGGGCAACAAGGAGCCAGCCAGGCCAGGCCGATGGTCATGCCTGCAATAAGCCAAGGGGTCCCCACGATGTCAGGCTTCAGTCAGCCTCCGACGCAGCAAATGCCGGGTGGTAACTTTGCTCAGAGCAGCCAAGGCCAGCCCTACGAGAGGAATCCCACTCAGGACATATCTTACAACTACAATAATGAAGGAGCAGGGGGGTCATTCTCCAGTTTAGCAGAGGGCGCAGACCTTGTGGACTCCATCATTAAGAGCGGACCAGGGGATGAGTGGATACAAGAACTCGATGAGTTGTTTGGAAACCCCCAGTGAACGGGCTTGTATAGTCTGGAGCTTTGGTTGTTACTTTGAAAAAAAGAGAGAGTTGGATGTTCTCCCCATCCTCGGGCTGTTGGTTTTTGTTTGAATTGGTTTGGTTTAGGGTTACTTTGTTTTCTTTTGTTTTTTCAGTCGTGCAAACTGAGCTGACCTGTAGCCAACTCTGGAAGAATCAGGGGTTGATGAAAACATCAGCATCCTAAGACTTCCACTCAGCAGCCCCCGTTGCGTGGCAGCACCCGCTGGGAGTGTGTATGAGGGGCAGGATGGGGAAACTGGAAAAGCCAGGCAATGCCTCTGGTTGGGAAAATCTGGTCTTTCTTGCTGAAACGGGGCTTCATTGCACAGCGATATGGGAAGGTCCCAATACCTCCCACCTCATGTAACTGTAAACACTGCAACTTTCAGGGGAATAGATGGAAACAGCCAGGAGCAAAGTCTAAAGATGTCCACAGGCGATTGCACAGGCCCTTGTCAGAAATGTGCTTAACTCCACGGGTAAGCAGGTCTCAGTGAGCCGCCACCAGGTCCACAGGGCTGGCTCTGGGCTGTCCCAAGGGAACGTGCAGCACACAAGTGACAAACCTAAACAGTCACAGGGAGGTCACCGTTTTCACTGCAGAGTGATAAAAACCCAATAAAAGTGTAGGAGAACATAAATTCAGCAGTGCGGTGAGGACAGTTTGATTGCAGGACTGTAGCTGGAGATGGCTTAGGTGGGTGTGTTAACTTAATGAGCTATTTTGTCCCCTCGGGACTTGCAATAGCGCTCCTCTGTCAGAGCACTGTGGCCTGTGTGGGCTGCCTGGAGGCGCAGAGCAGCAGCTACCAATGGTGTTGAAGGGCTAAGAGGTAGCAAGAGACATCAGCATAGGTCCTAAGTGAGTCCCTCTCTCCTTCCTCCCCGGTATGCTTTCGTTTCAATTCCTTCCCCTCCTGTCCTCCAGTGTAAGGCAAGGCGAGCTGCCTGCACTTTTTTCTTCAACAACTGCCACAAAGGGGCAGGCAGGGGAGGAGAAAACAGGCATGAGAACATGTACAGGGAGGGTTTGGCACATGGAATGGTTTCCTCCTCTCCTGTCGAAAAGCGCAAGGTTACCCTGGGGTGTCTGGGTTCTTGATGTAATGTTATATGCAATCTGATCTTCAGTTTTAAACAGATGTTTGCTCTAATCTCTGTGGTTGGCTGGAATAAAATTGACTGCAGTATCTGAAGAACAGGAACCAATATGAAGGACTACTGTAAAGATCATTCATGAATGGGTAAAATAATTCATGTAGTTGTTACAAAAACAGAGAGTCTGCTCAGATCAGCTTAAAGGTAATAGTGACGTATCACTATCTCCACTGTGTGGACCAGCGCCGAGCAGCATTGTAATGAAGTTGTGATACCTCTTGCACAATGTCGAGACACCAGCCATTCTGAATGTCTAAAGCAGCAGTTCCCAAGCTGCAGTTGGAGGCTGAGGTAAGCTGCCCTCCAGAACCTATCACCTTTTTTTAGTGTTTTCAGCTGAGAGCTGCTTACCGGGCGAATGTAGTGGTGCATAAAAAAGTGTTAACGTGATCTACAGTCCAGACGTTTGGGTACCTCTGGCCCAGGGCTGGCCTCCACGAGCCATAAGATGTGCTCTGCAGCAAAGTGTCTCTGGCGTCTCTGGCACCAACTATGCAGCTACCGATTACCCCCTTGTGCGCGGCTCCCCTTGGGCATGGTGACGCAAGGCACTCGGCTACTTGAATCCACAGGAACTGAGGTACCTTGCGTTTTCCAGTCCTGGCTTTCCCTGCAGAGCACAGATATGTGTCGTGTGGGAGTCAAATGGAACCATCTTGGCACCCCGTTACAGTTCCCTTTTTTGCAGTAACCCCTTGCAGGGCTTACCTAGATGAGGGGAAGTATCCGTTTTAAATGCTACAAAGTAGGCAGGACAAGCTGCATTTTTAACACGGACATGGATTTTTAACGTGGTCAAGGTGAGCTATCAATCCAGTTTTCCCTGACTGCTACATTTTTTTAAAAAGTGCTTTAGTTACATCTCTTTTAGCTAACCCCTTTTTAAAATACAGTGCAAGGACCTATTCCAGCTCCTCCTGAAGACAATGGGGGTTTGCCTGTGTGCTGCTTCGGGTTGGGCCCTAATTCAGTGAAAGAGAGACACCAGCCAAAATGTTTCAGTTCATTGTGTGGGTAAGCAGCTCTTGGTCAGGCTAGCCTGAACGGAAGGGATAGGCAAACAGGGAGAGAAGCGGTACCCTGAAGGGACGAGGATGTTGTGCACATGTGTGTGTCTGCAGGTGGGCGAGGGAGCAGTGAGCTGGTGTGGCACATCCTGGTCCTGCCCTGTAAGATAGAGGCGCTCCGGGATGGCACAGCATCCCTTTTTGGGGTGTGAGTGACTGGGGGTCACCTGCCAAGGCAGAGCTGGGAAATGAGGGTTTAGAAACACATCACCACCACCACGCAGCAGTCAAGAGCAAATCCAGGATCATCAGAGAGATAGATACAGGCTTTGGTGAATAAATGGTGACGAGGGCTGTGCCTCTGTTGTCTTTGCAAAGCTTCCTCCAAATACTCTGTGCTGGGACCAAGTACTAGAGAGATAGATTTTATTAGATTGGGGGTTGGGGTTTTTTTTTGTTTTCTTTCTTACTATGGTGCTGATGTATATGTAATGTTAAAAAAAAAAAGTTATTTGTAAATATGTTTTTACAATTCTACAGATATCACTGGGTCTACTATCTGTAAAATATATACATATAAATA